ATGGAATTCTAAGTTTATTTACTGATATCCAGGAGTTGGCATTGTTGTGGAGCAGGTTAAGCTGCTGCCTACAACCCTTGCATACCATGTCGGTGCGGGTTCTAGTCCCAGCTGCTCCACTTCTGGTCTGGCTCCCTGCTAATGCAGCTGGGAAAAGCAGCAGAAGATGGACCAAGTGCTTGGGCCTCTGCACCCACGTGGGAGACCCAGATGAAGCTTCTGGTCCAGCCCTGGCCATTGTGGCCCCGGGGTGGGGGTGAACCCACAGATGGAAGATATCTTTCTCTTTCTCTCTGTCCCATTCGCTCTCTGTAGCTCTACCTTTCAAATAAATAAAAATAAGTCTTTAAAAAAATAAAAATTGATAGTTTTCCAAAATATGTATTTTCCTTGAATGTGTTAAAGATCTCTGGTGTATAGAATTTCAAAGTTTTTTGTACTGGAATGAACTTCTCTTAATTCCATTTTTAAGTGAATTATATACACGCACACACACACATATGTGTGTGTGTTTTAAGATTTATTTGAGAGATACAGATAGAACTCTCACTGGCTGGTTCACCCCTGAATGCCCTCAACAGCCAGGGCTGGGCCAGGTTGAAGCTGGGAGCTGGAAACAGTCCAGGTCTCCCTGTGGACAGCAGGGGCCCAAGTACTTGAGCCATCACTGCTGCCTTTGAGTGCACGTTCGCCGGAAGCTGGAGTCGAGAACCAGGGTCAGCACTGAACCCAGGTACTTCAGGGTGAGACACGGGGGCCTTAACCACGAGGCTCCATGTCATTGCTGCAGCGAGTACTCTGAGTGCGCTCCTATTTACTGATGGATGACAGCAGTGGCTAGCATTTATCAGGCCCCTCACCGTGTGCTCTGAGCCTCCTAACGGCGACGTGAGCATAAGCCTGCTTATCGCCCTTGCTCAGGCGTGGCCGCCGAGACCTCAGAAAGGCCCGGCTTGCAGACCTGGCCGTCAGCGAGGAGCAGGCGGCCCAGCCCAGGCTCAGGGAGGATCCAGCTGGTTGGCGGCGGGCAGGGAAGCTGCTCTGAGAGCTGTGACCCTGGGGAATGAGTGGGAGGGAGCAGACATCAGCCTGAAGAAAAAGGCAACAGAAATAGACGGGGAAAGCCTGGTAATTGAGTGGCCCAGAAAAGGCAAGATGACGATTTTACTGCCAGGGAACTGGTTGTTTCCCTGGCAGCAAGTTCGGCGGCCAGCTGCGTGTGCTTCAGCGACAGCAGCTGCTCCTGCAGGTCCTGCCAGGCCCGGCCGGCCGTCCTCCCCTGGCCTGGGAGGCAGAGCAGGAGCCCCAGGGCTACCCAGCTGCGCTGGCCCCCAGCGCCCTGCGGCTGCCTTGTCCGCTGCACTGCCTGCGTGACCTTGAGCAGGCCCCTTCCCTCCCTGCTGGTCAGTACAAGGTCACCCCTGTGGGGAGTGGGGGGAGTGAGACAGCCTGGTGAGAGCCTCTGCCCCAGGGGAGGCCACCCAGCTGGCAGGGATGCAGGGAGGCAGGAGAGAGTGGCAGAGCCCAAGGTTCTGGAATTCCCACTGCAGCCACTTTGTCTCCATGCCCTAACCTCTCTGAGCCTTGGTTTGCTCATCTGTAAGATGGGTGGCTGTGACGGTGGCCAGTGTTAGGATTGTCCTGAGAATAAAACAGGGCTGCGGTCGGGAGCTTAGCCCACGCCGTGGCCCCAGCAAGGTTTCCCACAGCCTGCTGCATGTGTCATGGGGGGATGCTTGCGCCTGGGGCTCTGGCGTGTGTCACTAACAGCCCAGCCTGAGTTGTTGGAATGATTTTACAGTGGCCTATTTCCTAAAGGGGGCACGGGGTGTGACACGCACTTAAAGCCCTGCAGAGAAGGGAGGTCCCAGTAGGCGGGGCCCTCAGGACCTCCGCTGTCTGCTTCGCTTCTCCCAATGCCTACCCTACCTCTGCATTCCTGGCCATTGCCAGCCCTGCTGCCTCATGGGCGGATTTGAGGTTGGGGCTCCTTGTCAGTCATTCCACTCTGGGGCAGACTGCGCCCCTTGACTTAGAGATAATGAAGGCCGAGAACCTGACCTTGGAGAGGACTGCGGGGGCAGCACAAGAGGCTGCAGGTGCCTGCGTTCCGGGACTCCCTGCCACGCCAGCCATGAGAGGGCAGGAGGAGAGAGACGGGCCTCCTGCTGTGTGGTGTGCGGGCTCTCGGGCCGCCTGCAGGTGGCACCTGGACACTGCTGTCCTCAGGAACCACGTCAGTGCCTGGCAGTGTCAGAGGCTGCCACGGATTGGGGGTGGGGGGTGGGAAGGTGCCAGTGATGATACCGAGGAGGCTCTGAGCGTGAGCTAGCAAAAAGCCACCTTCCTCCTTTGCAGGAATTCTGCAGGCCTTTTGTGAAGCCCACCTGGGCAGGCTTTGGAGGTCACTGAGAGGACAGTGGACCCCTCTGCCCGTCCCTCACCCCAGCCCCATGCTGGAGTGGGAAAGCAGGGCCGGCTGGAAGAAAGGGACAAGCCAGAGCCCACGGAATCAGGGAGGGTGGAGGCGGCTGTGGGGGGAGCTCTTTGTCCCCTCTTCGCCTGCCCAGGCCCAGTGACCCCGCCCCAGCAGGCCAGGCCACTAGCAGTGACCAGGGCTGCAGACCCCTGTGGCAGTTGCCACCCTCAAAGAGTGTGCTTGGACACACGGGCAGCACATGGCGCCTGTGAACATACAAAGCCCGCAGCAAGGTCAGGCCTGGGCATGCGACAGGCGTGTGGGGGCAGGGCAAGTCTCCCCTGACAGCAGCAAGGATCCCAGCAGGTGCAGCACTGCCTTTCCCACGCGCTGGGCCCTGAGGTTCCCACCGTGTGCGGTGCAGCCAGAGAGGGCTCGGGAACCAGCCTGTCCTGGCCCAGCTGTGCTGTAGACACTGTCGAGGTTACCAGGGGAGGCACTAGGGGCCTGAGGGCGGGGGCTCCTGTGTGCGTCCATGTGACCAGCAGCTACCGCCACGGTCCCCAGCCGTGGGCCCGGCGTGAGCCGTCCTTCATGATTGCTCATAGGTAGAGTGAATGAATGCTTGCGTGTGTGCTGAGTTCCAGGCTGACTTAGAAGCAGGCTCTAGGAGAAAGGTCAAGATGCTGAAATTCAGGGGATAGAAATTCTAGGGGTGGGGGTGGGGGTGGGATGGTGGAGGATGGCTCCAGTGCGTTAGAAAAGCTGGTTATGAAGTTAGCGATTGCCAAGAACCAGGAAAAAAACCGGGCTGGCGAGCTCAAAGTGAGTTGCTCTGATGGAGACATATTTACACGGAGAACTTGGCAACTTTTATCGAGAACCTTAAAAACAGGTGCTCGGTGGAACCACGCGTGTCCTTTACTCAGCAAATATTTGTGAAGCTGCTGCTGTGTACCAGGCGTGGTGGGGCCACCAGGTATACAGTGGCGATCACGACAGGCCCAGCCCTTGCCCTTAGGGAGCTTACTGTGTAGAGGGAAGACACAAATGGATCAAACTACCACCCAGGCACGTCCGTACAAATTGCGACAAATAATCTGAAGGGAAAGTGTAGGGTGCCACGAGACTGGGCAGCAGTGGAGTGGACCCTAATTACGTGGGCACGGTCAGGACAGGTCACTCTCGGGGAAGAACATTTAACAGAGGTACAAAGGGGGACCTGAAGAACAAATACACTTTACTAGACAACAATCAACTGGGGAGGACAAGTATGCAGGATAGAGAAAACAGCATGTGCAAAGGGCCTGAGGCAGCAAAGAGCTTGCAATGCTTGAGGAGTTGATTGAGGACCAGTAAGCTGGAGTGCAATGGGTGATGGAGAAGGTGGGAGGACATGGGGCTGAAGGGACCAGCTGTGGAGTGTGGGCTTCATCATCAATGTGATGGAGAGTCACTAAAACACTTCCCTAGAGGAGTGGGTGACATGATCTCATTGAAGGGGAGGGAATTAGAGAGGGCTGAGAGCGAAGGAGATGAGACAGGAGACTTGCATGGCCAAGGACGGCAACGACGATGGCTGTGGGCAGGTGGGGACCGAGGGCTGGTGCGGGAAGAAGGTAGCTGTGGGAAACAGTGGGGTGAGAGGGAGCAGCTCAGGGATGCTGAAACACCAGGCCATGACAGGAAGGGACGGACGGGGCCAGCCCAGGCCATGGCAGGAAGGGACAGACGGGCCGGTGAGCAGGACGTTCCCAAGACTGGTGTGGAGCAGTGGTGGCCAGGCTGCCCGAGAGAGTGGGCGGTTGAGGTGGGATGCGGGAGAAAGGGGACCGGCAGGCTGGGGAGGCCAGGGTGCCGCGGGTCATTCACCAGCTGTGGAAGCCCCCAGGGCTGAGTTGTAAGAGCAGAAAGCTGGGAGTGGGCATTTGGTCACACTCGGGATGCACACAGCCTGGATTGGAGGCTCCGGGTTCAAGTCTTGGCTCTGCTTCCGTTCCAGCTTCCTGCTAACATGCACCCTGGGAGGCAACAGGTGACAGCTCAGGCACTTGGGTCCCTGCCACCCACGGGGGAGACCCACATTGAGTTCTGGGACACGCTGGTTTTTTTGTTCCCCCTATAGACAGAGGGTGATTTGATCAAGGGCCTCAGAACAATCAAACACCAAACAAGTATTTTTGTGTGGTTAAGATGTGATCTTGGGAGAAGAGTGGCAGCGGGGCTCTCGGGTTGTGGCTGTGAGTTTGTGTGAAGGAACCTTCGCCGCTACAGCACAAGCCTAGTCATGGCCTAGCCACGGCCTAGCCACGGCCCCATGGCGGCTGCCCAGGGGAAGGCCGCTGTGCCCTGCCCTCAGAGAGGGGCCAGTGGGCCTGCTGTCCCCACGCCTCCTCTGGCTCTGAGGGAACGCACGGGCCTCCCAGCCGGCGGGGCCTTGGGGCTGACCCTGGCTGGAGGGGAGAGGGGCAGGAGAGGGGCGGCCTCAGCCCAGCCCCACGCCTTCGGGGTAACAACGCACGTGCACACACACACACACACACACACACCTGCCTCACACCTGGCCTCCTTCCTTCCCCAGGTAGAGAAGCTCGTCAAGTATTTGGATCCCAACGACCTGGGGAGGATCAACTTCAAGGACTTTTGCCGTGGGGTGTTCGCCATGAAAGGTAAGGGGGAGGGGGATCCCAGGGCCCTGTCCTGTGTGGTTGGGGGGCTGGCGTGGCAGCCCCCAGCGACCCACAGGAGATGAGGGGGTGGGTCCTGGGCTCCCAGAGCTGCCCAGCCCTGGACAGTGTGGGGGACTGTGGCTCCCCCGTACCAGAGTCGGGGCGCCTGGCCCCACAGCGGTCCCATCTGCCCTTCGCCCATCCTTCCTCTCCCCTGCCTTGACCTCTGGGTGACACGCCCCCCAGGACGATGCCAGGACGGGGAGCAGAGCAGGCCCCTCCTCTTAGCCCCTCCTGCCTCCCTCCTCCCCTGCCTCCCTCGTTGTGTAGCACCCCATAAAATCCCTCTTCCTCTTTCCCAAATTCATAAAAAGCCAGTTATGAGAAGCCCCAGGGACCAGAACTCCTAAGCTGTCTGTCAGGAGATCGGGGCTCAGGTGCAGCCCCTGCTGTAGAGAGAGCATGGGTGCTTCCAGGAGCCCCAAGGCTCCCATTCCCCATGCAGAGAGCCAGGCTTCCCCGCCTGTAGGGCCCCCTTCTTGGCAGGGTGCCTCCGCCTTCCAGGCCGGTGGGTGGTCAGGCGGACGAGCAGGCAGAAGGGGACCGGAGTCACATTAGAGGGAGTGAGCCGAGGGCAGGGGACGGCACGCAGAGGCCCCGTCACGCCTTCCCCAGTGGGTTTGCTTGGTGACTGGGGCCAGCACAGGCTGCACCTGCCTTGTCCAGTGTGGCTTTGGGATGTTTGCTCAGGAACCCAGAAGGAGACCACCTGTGTGACAGAGTGAGCGGGAGGTAGAGCCCTCTGAGGGTGGCCCTAGTCTGGGCATCCTGGAGTTAGCAGGGCCTAGGGGAGTGCTCAGCCTCAGGGCATTAGGTGTGGATTCCCTGTGAGCCAGACAGGGCAGCACCAGCTTACATCCCTTCCTCCTCCAGGAAGCCCTCCTTGATTCCTTTAGCCCAGAGCCTGCCCTCTGCACTGGGGAGTCTTTCTTAGTCCCAGTAGAACACTGAGAATACAGGCCTGTCTGAGCTCCCTCTGCTGGGTGCTGCACCCCTGCCTCTCTCAGCCCTTTCTCCCTCAGGGCCTGGCCGAGGCACTGACCCACCCTATCTGTCTGTCTGCCTGCCCACAGGGTGCGAGGAGCTGCTGAAGGATGTGCTGTCCGTGGAGAGCGCAGGGACGCTGCCGTGCGCGCCCGAGATCCCTGACTGTGTGGAGCAGGTAGGACCCCCGCACATGGCGCATGGCCTGCCTTTGCCAGGTCTGCGAGGACCCAGGGCCTGGCCACAAAGTGAAGATACAGCCTCTGGAACCGGAGCGATGAGGCCCCTCGGGAAGCCTCAGCAGACCAGAGCTGGCTTGGTGTGGGGGAGGGGTAGCCCTTGCAGAGTCTCTGGGACTAAGGGGAAACTGAGTCCCAGGAAGGAAAGCCGAGGGCGGGGCTGGAGGCCAGGCAAGCGCGGCTGGTACCATTGCCATCCGAGCCAGTGGCGCGTGGGGTGGGTTTTCCAAATAACAAAGTCCATAGTCCCCTGATGCTAGCTGGGTACCCAGCAGCTCAGTTCAGTCTGACATAAGCTCCCACGAGTCAAGAGCAGTCCCTCCAGCCTGTCCCCACTCCAGACTCCAGCGCAGACCCAGGCCCCCACCCCCTCCCTGTGCGTGGGTTCAGTAATTCGCTAGAATGAAGGAGAACATTGCCCTTGGGGCATCGGTGTATTGCGGAGGGTATGACGCGGGAAGACGCAGGACAAGGCATGGGTCAGGGTGGGCACCGAGCTTCTGCGCCTCCCTGGCACCAGCTTCCACACGCCTGTGGGTCTGCCCACCCCGGAGAGCTCTGTGTCTGGTGGATCAGTGCTCACCCATGCTCCAGTGTCTCCTCCGGCCCGGAGCAGTGGGGCTAGGAGCGCCCCCCACTTCCAACCCTGGAAGCTGTGCGGCTGCCCTGAGTCCCCTCCTTCGCAGCCCCCTGGGGCTGTGTCATGAACAAAAGCCACCCCTGTCAGGAAATGCCAGGTGTACCGGGCTCTGCCCTTTTGTGACCTTGCAGGTGTGGCTGGAACAGGGCCCTCTGTGTCAGGGTGTCACAGGACACGGTTACAGCGTCTTCACTGGTTCCATCTCAGCCCTGGGATTGGGCAGCACTTCATAAAATAGAGGGAGTGTTCCAAGACTCTGAGCAAGGAAGTCAGTTTTATAGACAGCAAAAGGCCGAAGGCAGCAGAAACTAACAGCCGGAAGAGGATTGGACCTCTCCAAGGACCTCCCCTGGGAGGCGGGGACAGGAGGCAGTGCACCAGGGAGGTAACCGGTTAGTTGACATCAAGTTATTTCCAGTGATTTCTGTATAAGGATTAAAGCAGAGGGAACCTTAGTCCCTGCCACCTGCCACTGTCCTGATTGGGATTTCTTGGAAGGTCAGATGGACAGCTTAGTTTCAGCCTGATGATATGAACCTTGAACGTGATTGAGTCTTTTAAAATTTTTATGAATTTATTTGAGAGACAGAGAGAGCTCCTATCTAGTGGTTTGCTAGTGGTTTGGCCCTGGGGCCAAAGCTGGGAGCTGGAAACTCAGTCCAGGGCTCTCCCTGAAGCCATCACTGGTTCAGACAGCAGCTCGGAGGCCCGCATCCCATGTCTGAGTGCCTGGGTCCAGTACCCGGCTCTGGCTCCTCTCTCCAGCTCCCTGCTAGTGCAGACCCTGAGAGGCGATGTGGTGGCTCACGTGGGAGACCTGGATTGCAGTCCTGTCTCCTGGCTTCAGCCCAGGCCATTGTGCACATTTGTGGAATGAATCTGTGCACGGAAGGGTGCTCACTGTCTCCCTCCTTCTCATTTCTTCTCAGATAAAAATGTCAAAGTAAACACCAGAGAGCATGGGCTAGTGAACCCGTCAGGCAGGAGCACATTGTCTGTCAGGTCCTACGTGCTGGGCATAGCCGAGCGTGCGGTGCAGTAGCTGTGTGTGCACCAGCGTCACCGCAGCCCCGTGGGAAATGCCTGGTGCCACAGCGGGACGATGGCTGAGACCGCACTCGGCCGTGGCGATCTTTCAGCTGCCTCATTCTCTCAGGGGACCACCGTCCGTAGGTGGCCCAGCGTCGGCCAAACTTTCTTACACCCTGTGTGACCGCCCCGCTCTACCTCAGTCCCTGCCTGCGTGTTTCCTACAGGACGTTGGGCTCTCCTCCGGAACACGTGGGGACAGCCTCCGAGGCCCCTCCGTTGGCGCCATTACTTCAGGTCCTCACTCTGGCTGGCTCCGAAACCTCGTCCCCAGCTCAGGGTGGTGCCAAACACATGGATGCTCTTCAGAGCTGAAGGAGGCTCAAGGCCTTTGGGATCGAGCTGTGCAGTGGGGTCGGGCTTGGGTGTGGGCAGGCAGGAGAGGGAGAGGGCCCAGGCTGAGGGCAGCTGAGCCCCTCACGTGGGAGGAGGCCCAGGCCCTGTGGAAAGACAAGATTGTAGCAGCATCCGGTACAGGCTTTTTATCTGCAGTTGCTGAATCCAACCTTCAGGATACAATAGCATGAGCGTTCCCACTGGGCAGCCGCAGAGCAGGGGTTCTGAAACCGAAGGTAGGAAAGAGCCGAGTGGTTAACTTCAGGCGGCTTCTGCTTCCTGCTGAGGAGGAGGGAACGCTGGCCTCTGGGGGAGCTGCCTGTAATCTCTCTCACTTCCCAGAAGGTGGATAAACAGCTGTCCTCAGCCTGCTGGGTGGGACCCGAGCGTGAGCCACTGCATTTGGGTTGGTGTGTGGGGCCGGGGGCAGGAGCCGAGCCCAAAGCAAGGGCTCCAAGTTGGCAGACACCAAAGCTGGCAGCAGGTGTGGGGCAAGCTCCCCCCACCCCAGTAGGGGGCAGGTGGCCGGATCTCCGGAGCTGTGCTCGATATGAGAGCCTGTGGGGAGGAGAGAGGCCCACCGGGCTCCAGGCCTGCCTCGATGGCGCAGGTGTCGGGGGCCACCTCAGGGGAGCAGTACCTCTCCCCAGGGTGGGAGGAACGCCAAGTGCAGCGGACCCTTGGTGGATTGCTGAGCAGGAAGCAGATAGAGGAGGTGTTGTGTAGGGTCGTCCAGAGCTGAGTGCATCCTCCAGTTTGGCCACAGAGCAGCCGAGCAACCCTGGGCAAGCTCCTCGCACGCCAGAGCCTCTCCCCAGCTGCGAGATGGGGCCGTTCCTGTCCCGGGGGTCTGCTGTAGAGATCCAGTGGGGAGACGCAGGTCCTGGAGAGCACCCTCAGAAAGGGGTGCTCAAGTTACAGCTCGCCCTGTTCCCTTCCCCCTTGCAGCCTGCTGTTTCAAAATCATGTCAACAGGAAGCCCTGTCCCCGCAGAGCCAGAGAGCAGAGCCAAGCCCAGGAGCAAGGCTGCGCTCCCCTTGTCTTTGGCTGCTTTTGCAGCCCCCACGCTATGCCAGCCTCACTTCGGTAAAACGTGGCACATGACAAAAACGGGAGAAGTGGGGGGACAGGAGTTGGCACCAAGGACGCACTCCTCTTCATACAGCCACGCTTTCTCCTCCAGAGTGCAGCGCGCAAGGGGCCCAAGGACAGCGTCAGTCTCTCTGGGCACCCCCAGCCCTTCCCTTGGCTTCTTCTGGGGCTTGGCTTTCGCGTTGGTTTCTGCAGGTCTGGGTTTGTAGCTGTTTCCAAGTAGCTCCTTTCTGGCCCTGACAGGTGGCTGGCTGGCCAGAGTCCAGGGGGACGGCTATGGCTGGGTGGACACCGTGGGTGGCCTTGCTGTTCTGCCTGTTCTGCTCAGTCAGCTTGGCCGACATGGGCTCTGCTGCTCCCATGGGCTCCTGACTGCCGGCGGGGGTGAAGCGGAACAAGTCAAAGGCCAACGTGCTGGGCAGTCTCCCTTCCAGCTCAGGCTCCTGGGAGGGCAGGAGCGAGACCACAGGTGGGGCTGGCTGGGGAATTCTAGTCCTGCAGGCCAAGCCCTCAGTGTCCTGCTGTGTCCCAGCTGTCCCCTAGGGGTCAGCCTGAGACCGGGAGCCTGGATCCTTCCGTGGGCTTCCTGGGTGTCCCCAGGGAATGATCTGAGGAGTGACTTGGAGAATGTGGGGATTTCGCACCAGTAGGACAGTGGGAGCACAGCCCCTGGCGCCCCAGGGGTGGAAGGGGACAAGCCCCCTGGTCCCCACCCCCGCCATGTGGATGAGCCCTCTGACGTCACACTTGATGCGGGTCATGTGAGAACTAGAGTCGGCTGAGCCAGCAGCTTGCTTCCTAGCCCCTTTCCTGGGACACAGGAACCCCTTGACGCAGGCATTGTGCAGGACACTGGGGCCACCGTCCGTCTGCTGCACCTGTTCCTGACCTTACAGGTGTTCACCCCGCCTGTGTCCTCTGGGCCTGCAGCACCCTGGCGTGGCAAGAGCACCCTGAGGGCAGCCCCAACTGTCAGCCATGTGTTCAGCAGGAACCCCGACCCAAGGGGGCTGGAGTCCCGGGCTGGCCGGCATGTCTGGAAGGACTCCCGGATTCCATGGGTGGTGTCCCTGGGCTGAGGTCTCAGGAAGTACCCTGGGCGTCTCCATGAGATTGACCTGCTCCCAGGGAGCAGTCCCCCATCATTGGGGAGGGGTCTCTGTGGGCAGGGGGATGGGAAGGTGGAGAGAGCCCACCCTCAAGTGTCAAAGGCTAGAGGTCCGTGGTGACCCTTGGCAACTGGTCAAATGAAACCTGACCCCACAGCCCTGTAAGATCTGGCCCTTGGTCATTCTCCTATGTGGACTGGTTAGCAAGGAACCCCAATAAACAATGAGGGTGTCAGGCCGCCTGCTCCACCTGTGAGGCCACTGCATCTGCAATTGGTGCCCCCATCCATCCAACCCCAGACAGGAAAGTGGTGCTCGGCACTCCACATGCACCTGCTTCCCCCCCCCACCACAGCCGCTACCAGTGCCCTGGCCATCCCCCCACCTTCTCTCTCCAGACCCCATCCCATCGTCTCCTGGGGTCTTCCCAAGGAGCGGCTTGATTGAGTCCCCGACTCTGTGACCCCTTCACAGGGGCACTGAGCCCGTCACCCTGGGCTCCTCCCTGCTTCTCCAGCCTCGTCGCCCTGTAGCAGCCCTGAAACGCATCACCCATGGCTCCTCGTTCCCTGTCGCCTCTGAGTCTGCACAGGCTTCGTTCGCCTCCGGGACATCCTCCCACCCGTTGTCACCGTCATGGGCTGACTCCTACTCATCTACTCATCTTGTAAGG